AATAGATTGAAATATATATATATATATATATATATATATATATATATATATATAATTACCTCATAGATTTTAGCATATGGATGTGTTTCAATCCTTGCAATTATCATATTCTCACATTTTTTTCCTTGAGTATATTAAATATGTTGCTCTATTTTCTTCTGGCATAAAGCATTGCTGCCAAAAAGTCTGAGGATAATCGAATTCCCTTTCATCTAAGTCACTTGCTCTTTTTGTCTAGATACCCAAAGAAATTTGCATTATTTTTTTTCTTTAAAGTCTGGTATTTTTACAAGAATGTGTCTTTGTGTTGATCATTCTAGGTTGATTTTCTCAGGTGCAATGTGTTCTCTCAATGCATAGATGCAAATACATACATATATATATAATTGTATATATTTTTATATATAATAATATATATATAATTTCAAGGAGGCTTTCTTGAGTCTAATTTGTATTATTTGTTGTTTTCTTATCCCTGCCTCTTTCCCTCCCGCCCCCCCAGGGACTCCTATTACCTGAATACTGGGTCTCCTTTTTCTATCTTCAGTATTTGCCATTTTCTCTCTTTTTTAAATCTCTCTTCATTGATTTTTAAAATCTTCCTCCTGTTCATCTTCCACTTCTCTTAAAGCACAATTAAATGTGTTTACTAACTTTGGGTTTCATTTAGTCTTCATTTCCAAAGTAACTTTTTTCTTATTTCCAATTCTATTCTGAGTTTCTTCACTTCATTTTGATTGTTTCTAACTCTGATTTATATAGTTCCTTCCTGTCTCACAACATTTAGTGTCTTTTAAGTAGTGGGTGTTAGCTTTGATCTACCCTGTGTGAATGTCTTTTTGGTGTGCTTTTATTGTCTGTAGAATTGCTATTCTGTTCTTATTCTCTTTTCACAACAGTAGTCTTCTATGGGATTTGACTTCCATACCTTACTGTTGCTTGTGTGTATGTGAAATGGGTTTTCTTGAACTTTTGGAAGGAGGCAATTTTCAGGATAGCTTTTCTGACTTCACAGAGAACCTTCTTCTGTTTTTACGGTGGTATTAACATTTAAAAAGTCGGCTTACTTTCCAAGACTTTCTGGTCCTCAATTTTTTTTTTTTTTCCTGGACCTCTTCTTTCCTTTGTTTCTATCTGGTGTAATTTTGTTTCCATGTCCAGAAGTCTGTCCTCCCTGTGGCCCCTTTCCTAGGGAAGCCTTGATAGGTCAGTTTCAAGAGTTCCTACAGCTATACTGCTCCAATCTCCTCAAACCCTACCATGAATCCCTCATACTCTCATCATTTTGGAGACAGCAAACTCCTGTTCCTATTTCCGCTGCTCTTCTCAACTTGACTGGCCAGGACCTCCAGTGAATACCTTCTGGCTATTTTGGAATTTTCCAGATGTCTCGCTGATTCCCTTTGCTGATACAATAAAGATCTTGTGACTGCCACTGCTTTGTTCTCACTTGCTGGTGCTGGAGATCATGGGGTTACCATTTCACTTAGACTTGCTGTAGATGTCATCTATGGGTTTTGATTTTGCTTTAGAATTGCTTTGTCTATTTTTATGTGGAGACCAAACAATAATGCTGCTGCTGTCATTTTCCCAGAATCTCCCCCAAAGAAACAGACTTTTAAAATTACTTAATTGTCATCTTAATGGTCCACACACCCAGAAAATGGCATAGTTTTGTAGGCAGTATGCGTAACCATGTTTTACCTTTTCTACTGTTTCTACCATTACCTTCTTTTATGTGGACCATTCTAGTAGCTCCCAACTATTCTCTGGGCTTCTACCATGCTGTACTTCTACAGCAGTAGGAGTGATTTTAAAATATCAGCCAGATCATGTCACTCTCAGCTCAAAATATTGCAAAAGCTTTGCTCAACTTTCAGGCCCTCCGAGATCTGGCCCGGTCTTTCTCTCTGACTTCCTCTCCCAGTGGTTTAGGCTGCATCAGCTGCACTGGCTTCAAACACACCAGGCAGGCTCTCAACTCAGGGCTTGTGCAGTGCTATCTACTCTGTTCCTAAGCTTTTCCCTCTGATTTCCACTTGGCTCTCTCCCTCACTTATTTGGTCTCTGCTTAAATGTCATCTTATCAGAAAGGTCTTCCATGACCACACCTCACCTCCCATCACAAAATAGAACTCTCATCCTCTTCCCATGCTTTATTTTTTTTCATGGTTCTTATTACCGTGACATGTTATATATTCATTTTTTTTTATGTATTGTTCTACCCATAATGCCATGAAAAGTAGGAACTTTGTCTTCCTGGCAACCTGAACAGTTTGGTTTTTTTTTTTTTGTTTTGTTTTGTTTTTAGCACAAACGTAGCACTCGATACAAATTTGATAACTGAATGAATATATAAACTACCTAGCACCTAACAGGTATTCAAGAAATGTTTGCACTTTTTTTTCTTCATCGAGAAAAGGAAGTGATCTGTAGGGACTACCACTATCTGCCATGATAAAACCAATAATGGAACACAGTGAGAAAAATAAGAGAACAAAATGGTGGCAGTAGAGCCAAAAGAAGGGGGCAGTCAAAGTATCAAGAAGTCAGGACTGAATAGAGGCTACAAAAGTGGTGCTTTGGACTGCACTGTATCCCCCCAAATTCATATGTTGAAGCCCTGACCCCCAATGTGACTACATTTAGAGATAGGAGCTTTAGGAGGTAATTAGGCGTAAGTGAGATAGATTATTAAGGGTGGGATCCTGATGCAACAGGATCAGTACCCTTAAAAGAAGAGATACCAGAGCACATGTGCTCATTGTCTCTCTCTCTCTCTCTTCCTCTCTCCTTCTCCCACCTTCGGGCCTATGAAAACACAGCCACCCTTGGCAAGCAAGTCAAAGAGCTCTTAGCAGAAACCTGTCTGGTCTGTACCTTGATCTTGGATTTCCCACCCTCTAGAACTGTGAGAAATAAATTTCTGTTGTTTAAGCACAGAGTCTGTAATATTTTGTTATGGAAGCCCAAGTGGACTAATACAGTTAGGTTTCTGAAAAGGTCACAAAATTTAGGGTTAGGTTAGTAACAAATCTGGAAATCAAAGTTTTTCTCCTTTTCAATTTTAAGGCCAAATCTTAAAGAGTTGTAGACTCTAAGAAAACCAACATAACCAAATCACAAAATCATTTAAGTATAAAGAAAAGCCCATATATCGCTTGAAGAGTATTTATGGGGAAAAAAGCCATTTTTCCCTCAGTTCTGAGATATAATTGACATATATCTCTGTATAAGTTTAAGGTGTACAGCATAATGGTTTGACTTACATATACTGGGAAATGATTACTGCAATAAGTGTAGAAAGCATTTATCAATTTAGAGATACAATAAAGAGAAAGCAAACAAAGAAAAAACTTTTTTTCTAGTGATGAGAAATCATAGGATTTACTCTTAACAGCTTTCCTATCATACAGCTGTATTAACTACACATTACATCATGCTATACATTAAATCCCTAATGTATGTATCTTGTAACCAGAAGTTTGTACCTTTTGACCACCTGCCTCCAATTCCCCCTCCCTACCCTTGCCTCTGGTAATCACAAATCTGATCTTTTTTTGCATGAGTTTTTTTTTTTTTTAATCCATTTAAGGAAGAAAAGTCACGGACTATTCATAGAAGTTTAAGAAATGCATGTGCACAAGTGTTTTTAACACCTATAACCACGTGGACTAACATTTTAAAGTACATTTGTGGTTCCTGAGCAAATGAAATCATGTGTTACCCAAACAAATTAACCATAAAGATCAGTAGGGTTCTGAATCCGGGATAAATTATTTTTAGAGAAAAAGCAAACTTTTGCATCTTAAAATTGTTTAATGTTTCAACTAGCCACACTTGTCGGTATGATTGTGATTCATATGACTACATTGCAGCTTCCTTGTGACGTTAGTTATAAAACGCTAGATTAGGGTTTTACTCTTCAAAGCAAAACAAGAATCAAGTCTCAACTAACAGGTTCACCAAAATGATACATCACTAGCCCCTCTCCACCAAAGGCTGCTCCAGTTTAGAGTTAAGAAATGCCCTGTGCTCGATATGCTGAAATTCATCTGTTCTTTGCAATTCATGGGTGGACTATTTGGTCCAGGGCCTATTGAAGGCCCCCACACTGATAGTGCCTCACTCTCACTGGGCTTTTGATCATTTTTCTGCTCACTAGTTTCTTTACCTGAGAGGATGGGCAAGAAAAGAAAGGAAGGTAACTTGCTTAATATCTTTTTCCACATTCAATTTTTATAAGGAGGATAAAAGTTAATAACCTAAGTTGAGGAGTCTGGATTGCCCGCCAGTGTCATGTGCCAGTAGCCGCCAGGCAGGGGCATCCCCTGGAAATCAGCAGTCCGCTCAGCTGGTAGGACGTCCTAGCCCCAAAGCTTTGCGCAAACACAACAGACGGGATGATGGAAGAAAATCTCCCCCAACCATGGGACCTTTAAGGGAGCTTTATCACATGCGGTACAGACCGCGCTGGACGTTTGATCGTGGCCACTGTCGGTAGCACCGGTCCACTTTCCCAGTTCGGGTCCTCTCACGCGCTGGATGCACCGCGGGACTGAGTCCGGGACACCAGAGCCCCCTTCCCCAACGCCCTGGGCTCCTCCGGAAGACTTAAAACCACAACGATCGCGCGAGCTGGGTGACAAACGAACAGCAGTCTAGGGAGCTGTTCCAGGAAAAGACAGCAAGGAGCAGCCTAGAAAGAGGGGGATCTGTGCCAATGTCGCCGGCCCTCTCCAGCCTCCGCCATGACCCCCGCGGGCCCCCGTAGGTCCCCGTGGGCCACCGTGACCCCTGCGGGCCACCGTAGACGCGCCGGCGCTCTCAAGATGGCTGCCGAGCCCCGCTCCTCCCCCCCGCCGCGCCTTCCCTGAGGTCCCGGCAGCAGGCGAGCGGTGCAAGACTTGCGTTCCGGCACCAGCGCAGCCTAGAGGCCGGGAGCGGCCGGCCGCCGGCCCGCACGCACCGTCTCCCGGGGCGTGGCGCCGGGCCCCTTCCGGGGATGGGCTCCGGCGCCCCAGTCGACCCGACTCTGCCCCGGCTCCTCCCCGCTCGGGCGGGCGCTCCGCCGTGTCCCCGCCCGTCAGTCCGCCCGGCCCGGCTGGCCGCAGACGGGGCCTGGGCGGCCGCACCGGGAACTCTGAACCCCCGTGCGTCGGGAGGCGTCGGCGCTACCGCTGACCGGCGGCGGGCCCCGGGCTGCGACCCGGCCAGAGCGAAAAAGCGGCGACACCATGTTCTCCCTCAAGCCTCCCAGACCCACCTTTAGGTCCTACCTCCTGCCGCCGCCCCAGGTAAACAACCCCCACCCGGCGAGCGACCCTCTCCTTGGCGCTTTCTGGGAGCTGCCGGGCCGACCCCCTGGAGGCTCCCCCGGTCTCCCTGTTCCCAGCCGCGCGATTGCCGGAGCCCCGACGCCGGGGAACGCGCCTTCTCGGGAGCCCCCACTGGCTCGGTGGAAACTTGTAAAACTTCGCCGCAGCCATTCTCAGCTCGGAGACCTGTGATCCGTAGTTTGCCGTGTGATGAGACTCAAGGGAGTGTTTGGAGTCGGATTTATTTAGTTCTTCGCCTGGCAGTTGTCCGCACTGTGGCCGCCAGCATGATCGCATCGCTTCTGAGCATCTGGTGGAAGACGTTACCTGTCATAAATGTGAACACCTGGAAGCGGCCCAGCAGTTTTAATGGTTTTGTCGGACTCGCAATTGATAATGAACAGATCTTGAAAAGATCTGGTAAAACTTGTGAAAGATTTTAAGGGGGGGGCGGGGGAAATGTGTGTCTGTTGCATGTGTCATCACTTAGAGAACAAAAATTGCTTTAGTATCTCACGGGGGAGGAAAAGTTTTGATCTTGATTTATTTTGCTAATGTATTTCAGACTGACGATAAGATTAATTCAGAGCCGAAGATTAAAAAACTGGAGCCAGTCCTTTTGCCAGGTAAACATCAGAGTTTCAACAGATACTTCAGTAAAGTCTTTTGGTCCAAGATGATTCTCCCAACTAGTACCATGTGGTTAACGTCTCCCTTGTATTTATTTATGTTAAGCTTTATCCTGTTAAAAATCTAGTGACTGAGATGACAGAAAAACTTGTTAGAACTAAACAACAACAACAAAAAGTAGTTCTGAATTTGGTGTTTGTCCTTGAAAATGTAAACACTCTAGAGAGCTGTCAAGAATATCACTACCTCATTTCTTTTTTGATTTCCTGAAATGTTCATTTTTAAAGCAGTCATTACTTGGCTAGGTAGTGAGAGTACTCTTTGCCCTTCATGTCTGCAACTTCAAGCATTAATGATTAATAAGTCATCGTTTTAATCGTGTGAAAAGCAACTTTTATTATGTTCGGGTCTTTATACCAATAACAAAACTTAGTGAACTTTGAATTACTTAACTTGGCTTCTTTTTTTTTTTTTTTTTGGAAGGTGTCAGCTGTGTTTGCAAATTTACTTGTTTCAGTTTAGAATGGAGTTTCTCAACAGAGGCTCTATTGACATTTGGGGACTGATAATTCTTTGTAATAGGGACAGTCCCATGCATTATAGGATGTTTAGCAGTATCCCTGGCCTCTACCCACCAGATGCCAGTGGCACCCCTTCTCCACCTCCTAGTTGTGACCACCAGAATGTCTCCAGATGTTGCCAAAACTTACTTTTGTCTTTTGCCTCTGGGAGCAAAATCTCCCAGTGGAGAGGCACTGGTTTAGAACAAAAGTTACCTTGGAACACCTTAAGAGGTGGAGATAGGAATTGGCAATTGAAGTTTTAAAGCATATAAAATATTATTTAATTGGTATTTTGAATTGTATGACAATTGAATAATAAATGGAAAATTTAGTTGTTTAATATGATTCTTGTGGGGAGTTGCTGGATATTTAGGAAAGCCTGTTTTAAACCTGAAATCTAATCAAATACCAATTTGTGTGGCTACTGTCAACATTTAAAAATCTTAGTCATTACTTAATGCTAAACCTAGTAAAATGATTAGAACTTATAAGAACTTAAAAGCGATACCTGAACAGATACGGAAACTTTAAATTTTGTGCTTTGAAATTTTAAATGTTAAGTGGGAACAAACAGTATGCAGTATGCTGTCAACCTATGGTTCAATATTATAGATGCTAACTCTTAAAAATTGTTTTCGACTTTATTATGGGACTTAGTTATAAGTATTTGGCCTTTATTTAGTTAATGCTTTTTATCCAACCAGTATGTACTAAATAATCCTTTGTACTTTTCCTGAGAGTGAACAATAGAATTAATAAGTAACCTTTGCTCCCTGGGTGTGCTCTGTTTTAGCCTTAGTCACTCCAGGCATTTCAAAGTTAGCTGTGGGAAACAGTACTCATCTTAAATGAGTGAGGGCCTGTGAGCTATTAACTTTGGCTTCCTTTACTTTTTTCTGAATAGACCCTGTTCTTAGGCTTTGATTTCCCTCTTCTGATACGAAGATTTGGCATTGATAAACAACAGGTCTTAGATATAAATGATAGTGCTTGATTTTTTAGGATTGACTTTTATATTTAAGATATGCTTAAGAAAGTGTTATTGAATACTGATGAGCAGGAAGAACTTCACACTGAAGGATTATCCCTTCTGTAGAATTAACTAAAAACTTAGTTTCTACTAAAAAGTCACAGTTTTCTGGGGGAAGATATAAACTCATTTCCTGCCTTTAAGTGGTTTATGTGTCCTAGAAGGGGCAGCTGAATCTAGATATTCTGATTTATGTTTGTAGCTAACCTTTTTCCTACAGAAGATTTAGCCAGTCCTAGATGAGTGTGTCTTCTGCCTTCCTTCCTCACCCATTCTGTTCTTACTCTCTCATCTTGGCCTTCCCATACATTCCCCAGTTTCTTTCTGTCTGGCCACCTCATTTTGGTCTCTGTTTCCTGTCCCCCACCCCACCCCCTTGAGCCGCCTACCTGTCTGACTACCACTAGAACCTCCGTTACTCCACATTTGGTTTGCATCCTACTCCTTGACCTGTGAAATCTGGAAGACAGCTGGAAAGTAACTGAGGCATTGGTGATCTAAAGACCTGGGCTAGGTTAGGGTTTTTTACTAAGAGAGCTTAATAATACAGTTCTTGCCTTTGTTATAGTCAGAAACCACAAGGAAACTTGGCCAAGTCACCTGTGGCTTTACACAGTCACACGGAACAAGAAGTAATTGTTTAGAGATATAGTATTGCATGTTATCCTTTGGCATAGAGCCTTAGGTTCAAGGATATCCTACTGTAGTTGCCCAAAGTTTGAACTTTTACAAACAGATGAAAATTAGACACGAAATGAATTGTGTGCAGTTACTGTGTGTTCCTTCGGAACTTAACAAGGCTAAATTTATAATGATCTCCATCTTTTATTGAGAGAAGAAAATAGAAGAAACTGGCAATTTAATTTCGATTGTGCTTTATGTTAGTAATTTTCAATTTGCATGGTTCGTGAACTTCCTCAAGATAGAGATTGTACCTAATTCAACTTTTGGCCTTGATGTCTAGTGTGGTGCACTGAGCTGCTGATTGAGTGATGACTAAATGAAAGAACCCCTAGAACACCAGCTTGAATTGCTACCATAGCCATGCCCGCATGCTCAATCTCAGGCCCCTCAGATCATGACCTGAGCCGAAGGCAGAGGCCCAACCCACTGAGCCACCCAGGCGCCCCCAGAGACTTTGAATTTTTAAATACATGTGTGCGTGCATGTGTGTTTCAGCATATATTTGTTAAGGGCAAAAACTGCCGGACTATATTCATATATTATGGAGGGGTGGGTACAGGAGGTGGGAGAGAGAGAGAATCTTAGGCAGTCTCCACACCCAGCACAGAGCCTAATGTGGGGCTCAGTCTCAGAATCCTGAGATCATGACCTGAGCCAAAATCAGGTACGGGTCACTTAACCAACTAAGCCACCCACGCACCCCAGACTGTGCTCAGATCTTTTTCGGATAGCTGCTGGACTGGTGAAGCAGTTGAGCACCTGAGCTGGGGGCCTGTCTCTGTGCTAGATGAATAAAAGTGCTGGAGGAGTAGTGTGCCTGGATCACAGCAAAGCCTGTGGACAACGTAGAAGTTAGCGACCTATATCACTCTTTCCCAGGGTCTGGCTGGCAAAGAAAACTGGACGAAGTTTTTAACAGCCCTTGGTCAAACTAAGAAAATTAAGAAAAAAGGCAGCTTTTCCCCATAGAGCTGAGTTGATTTAAACGATTGTCCTGTATTTCTGAGATTTTGTCCTTCCGGTTTCCTTGGTATAGATATGTTCTCTGTTAAATGATGGTGATAGTAACTATGGCTTTAAAGAAGTTAGCAAAATGGCTTTAAAGAAGTTAGCAAAATAAAAGGTTAAGAACTCTATGTTGGTTGCATGAATTGTTTTTGTGGTATATCTGATTTGTAGAATCTGGGTTAGAAACCACTTGATGAGGTTTTTCTAATATCATAGATAGGATTTTTTTTAAAGATTTATTTATTTATTTTAGAGAGAGGAGAGAGAGCACAAGTGGGAGGAGGAGAGGGAGAGAGAATCCCAAGAGACTCTGCACTGAGCACAGAGCCCAGGGTGGGGCTGGATCCCAAGAACCTGAGATCATGACTTGAGCTGAAACCAAGAGTCAGGTGCTTAACCGACCGACCCACCCAGGTGCCCCTTATAGGTACATTTTTTTTTCTTATAAAGATTTTATTTATTTATTTGACAGAGATCGCAATTAGGCAGAGAGGCAGGCGGTGGGGGGGGGGCGGGGGGGAGCAGGCTTCCCGCTGAACAGAGAGCCCGATGCAGGGCTCGATCCCAGGACTCTGGGATCATGACCTGAGCCGAAGGCAGCCACTCAACTGACTGAGCCACCCAGGCGCCCCTCATAGATACAATTTAATGAGCACTTATACAGAGAACATCAGTAATTTTATCTCCCTAGGAATTGTTTCACTGTCTTCTGAAAAATATACCCTCTCTCCTTTGACACATCAAACTTCCCCATCCCCATACTGCCTTGGGTTCTAGTGTGGCCAGCAAGGATAATAACCCACCCCAGACTGCAAGAATGGACACAGCTGGGCCTCTGTTATTTTCAGATCGGTACTAAGGGAAGAGATCCTTTTTGGTAGTTCTGTCAGTGGCCATAGAACCAGAGAACCTGCTCCAAAGAGTGAAGTCCCATGTTTTAGAGAGAGGCAGAGGTGCAACACTGAGGGGGACTTGTGAAGGCCTTCAAGCTGCTGGGCTCCCATTTTGCTTGAAGTCCAGCCAACACAAAAGCCAGATTTCTTTTTGCTTAGCTGGCTCCAGGTACACTTCTGACTCTTTTCAACTAAAATCCCTAACTAATACATAGCTTTCAGGTTACTCCTCATAACAGCTGTCTCAGGGAGGCACCCGTTTGTCTTCGTGAGCCAGATGAGAGGACTGTAGTTGCACATGCTAAGTCACTTTCCCTGTATGGCAGAGCTGGAATTCTGAGCCCAGCTCCCAGGCTGTGCCTTTAACCATGAAGCAGCAGGGCCTACCTGACTGCACTGGGGACATTAGGGTACAAATTTATGCTTTGGAACTGGAGAGAGGGTGGATTGGATGTTGGCCTAGAAGTTCTCTAGTTGGGTAAAAAGAGCTCTGTCCTTAGCTGTGCCCTTTCCACAGCAGTGACAGATTTTGACCCAACTTGAGGAGCAACTTTCAATTTAAGCTGCCAGAAAAACGGACTGCCTTGGGAGGCAGGGGACTTCCTGTCACTGGCTGTGCCAAAGCAGAGGCTGGTGGAATGCCAGCTGCTTTGTCACGAGGTGGTGAGCTTTGCAGTAAGTGGGCTTGTTGGCCTTTTCTCTCTTCTAACTCTGGGATGGGATCTTGTTAAGGATCTGTGAGGTGGGAGGGAGGGATGGCTCGAAGCGCTGTGGCTAATAGTAAGGAGTTAATTGTCCCACAGGTTTCCAGTGCATGT